TTACACGCTCTGGGTTGTAAGGTTCAACACACCACAGGAACAATAAGTTGCAGCGAGTCAGCCAGAATGCACTATCGGTCAACATGCCTGGTGTGAAGTGTCAAGCATCAAAGACCATTTTTAGCTGGTCCTGAGGCCACGGGTTCCATGTGACTTCTGCCTCATCAAGTATCTCAAACAGCTGGTGGTACATAGGGTAACAATTTTTCGCAATATCTGGAGACCAACATTTCCGTGCCTTTGTCCACCTGGTGGCCATAGTTGCGCTAGCACCCTCGCCAAAGTCATATGGGTATATGGGTTGTACTATACGAGGTCGTCCTACAGGGAGGTATTTCCAGGACCACAACTGTACAGGGAGGTGTGCCCTTGTACTTTCCAGTGAGAAAGGTACCATCAACAGATAATACCGGGTGACAGTGCCTGAAGGCTTGTATAGTCTGGGCGAATGCCCAGAATAAGCGGTCCAGGATTAGCTCACCCGGGTTCATTGGGTTTGGACGTTCTCTCCACCAAACTTGAGTCCCCCTATTAGCACTTGCTATTTGATGAAGCATTCTAGGGGCATAAGAATATGCCTCCTCATAGGTACCATACAAGTTCTTGAATATATTTTCCTTCGCATGCCTAGCCTTGCTGTAGCTAACAGGGAATCCAATTAGATCCTCTGCATCTTTTTGCAGAGCCCTAACACTAATGTTGAGACTTCCCTGCACAATTGTTTCCATCGTCTGTGCCACAAATTTTGCTGTCACATTGCAGTGATCTGAAAGAGTCCCAGTTTGCTCACAGGTATGCTCCACTATTTTTGTGATATGCCATGACTGACATACCCCAGGCTTCAGTCTAGCGAGAACTCTTCCGCGGCAACCTTTCGCGGTGTGGATGCATATGACCTTCAACTCTTTTTTATCAGACTGCTTCACTCTATGCTGGCGGTGGATGCCGATTGCATAGCTACCCATTGCCTGGTAAGCAGACTTCTTATCTGGGAAAACTTGCCCAACCTCCAGGCTTCCCGCTCCTAGGCCAGAAGCAGAGTGAAATTCGTTGGTGATGCTCATATCCTGTAAAAACCCAGGTTGCAGTGCCGCCGCGACCGCCCTCTGAGGAGGAACATCTTCTTCTCCGCTTGACTCCGAAGACGCAGAAGAATGATCATCATCATCTAGCGCCTCCGGCAATCCCTCCACGTGTTCGCTCATGTCAACGGCCGCCGACCAATATCTTGTGTCATACACAGGCTGGCCGCCCGTCGGTTCCGATGGGCCGATACTAGGGGCTGATGTGATGGCCAACTCGACCTCACCACCCCTGCTACTGCATCCGGCAACATCAGTGACTGAAATGAACTCCACATACACCATCGGCTGACCATACATTGAGTTATTGGGATTGCTTGCAAACCTCATGTACGACCCCCACGACCGATCACCTGTGACAGGCTGCAAACCCCAACGGGCAACTGTCCCATCATTTCCTCCGTCAACGACGAAGGCCTCCATTGTCATTTTTTTTCCTGCATCACTGGGCCAAACACCGCTCGGATGCACCTTCTAACAGCTGCGTAACCCACGTTGACCATGTCTCTCACCACTACTGTAGTCGACTCACAGAAGGACACATCCACCCCGCATGGACCGTCGCGTAAGACGTTCCCATAGTACACTACTAAATTTTCCATAGTACCTAACCAACATACATGTTTACATTTCAAATAATTAGTAACTGAACATTTAGTAACGATGACAACATTTACATATCTTATGACTAAAATAATAACCGTATTTTCGTTATAAATATTCGGTTTGTTTTTAGAATCATTTGCTTAGACTTTAAGGGGTTGTTTGGTTAACGGGTATTTAAAGATCTATTTTTCTCAAATTTGTCTATGAGCGTAACAAACTAAAACTCTGTTTGATTTTCTCTAACTACCCCAAAAATATCCTAAAATAGTTCTCGTAACATGCAAAAACTTAGCTTCTGGAAAAACGACTTTTAGTAAAATATGGTTTTCTACATAATTTCCTTACAACAGGTTATGACAAAACTGAGGGTAAGTACTCGCTATCCAAACAACCACTAAACATAATATTACGATAATAACATTTAAATATCATATGAGTAAAATATCTAATTTCTTCCGGCATGATATAATGTTTTTTATATCATACGATAAAATTCATTTATTTACAAATAATAATATTTGCAGCGGCATGACAGTACATCAATATAAAAAATATTAACAAAATTACGGCGTCATTTTATACCTTAGGTCCAATATGGATGTGCTTGCAAATGCAATTAAGCGTCCAAATAGTTCGAATAAATATCCGTCACCAGTAATATATGAACAGAGTCAACCTATTATCACATGAACATCAATATTACACACGGATTTTTCTTTCTGCTATCAAAAGTATGAAAATAACACTTGCATGTATGTGGTCATCATCTCAAAAGGGATAGCGAAGATGGTAACACAATTTCTTCAATCACGTCATCTCCTCCTTGTTTGCTACTAAGATGAATTATTTTACCTAATTACATTTATCATTAAGTACATTACCACCTAATCTTAACATATAAAATTTAGATTATTGTGACATAACAAAGTAAACCTACGATTTCCTAACCATAGACTTATTAATAAACATACCACATGCAATGAACAATTACAGTGTAATTTTTTCTTAATTACCGTATTAAGAGCTTCTCGCATGTCAATACAAATGTATGCAACTAACATTGATACAACATCTTCAACCTACTCTTATCAAAAAAATAGTTTAAATGTTGTATCCGTCGTTTGAATTTTTTCCGAACCTCTAAGCACTAACATCACATAGCTAATGACGAGCTAAATGACTAACTAATTACCACCGTGCATCACAAAAAAATCCATGTATTGCAAAGCTCATACCTTGATCTCCCCCTTCGTACTTCACTTAGCACGGCAAATCTTACTCCAGAAACTCCAAATGACTCCTTCAAGTGCTGAAATAATGCCTAAAACAACATAGAGTACACACTTAGAAACTAATCAAACAGAACAAAAACATCATGCATGCAAACAAAACCAACAAAAATGGATAGATCTTACCTTAATCTATCTTTTCTTCAACTTCACCATCTTCGAAAACCAACTCTAAATCGGCCAAAATCACGAGTGAAAGTAGCTACCAAGTATTTCCTTCTGTGTATTCTTCTAGACTTAGACAGAGTAGAGAGGCAGTGAAGGCAAGGAGAGATATTCGAGAGAGTGTATGCGCAGCCGCGGTTGTGCGTATATAAAGAGGAGGAGCACTGTATTGTCGGCAGAACGAGGTACACTCAGCTACCGCAGCCTCGGATTCCAGCATTGCGGTGTCTCATCACACGCAGCAACTACACCGCTCTCGGGTGTCGGCAAGAAGCGGAAATCACGCAGGCTGCGGGAATCAGATTCCAATTTACAAAGCATCTGCGGAAATCACGCGCTGCAGCAGACCGTCCAAATTAGCGCCGTCAGGTCGTTGTCATAGAAATCAGCGCCGTAGAAATCAGCGCCGTCAGGGGCTGTCGGGCCGCATGCGCGCTGCCGCCTCACCGGGTGGCGGCCGGGCCCGCGCCTCGCTTCCCGTGAAGATGCTGCTGTCGGCCCGGGCGCGGCATGGGCAGCAGTGGCCGCCTCAGCCAGTGGCGGCGTGGCCCACCTGGCCTCACCCGTTACGTTGCACTGTGCCGAATCTGTTATACCGCGCGCGGCCGCCTCCTGTCGTGGCGGCCGGGCCCGCCGCCTCCTGGTGTGGCGGCAGGTGACACGTGTCACCTGCCGCGCCTGCCGCCACTGGTGAGGGGGTCTTTTTTGACATTTTTATCCGTAGGTAGTCTTTTTTGTCAATAGCGTTCGGCAGGGGGTCCTTTTGGACAAAAAATCGTCGTTCAGCAGCATGGGCTCCGCGCCCGCAGCGCCACCAGCAGAGCGGCTGGCGGCGCGCCCGCACGTCGTACTTCTGGGTAGCCCCGGCGCCGGCCACCTCACCCCTTTGGTCGAGCTGGCGCGGCGGCTCGTCGAGCTCCATGGCTTCGCGGCCACGATTGTCACGTTCACCAACTTCTCCGCCCCAGATCAACTTGCTTGCCTCCCTGCCTCCGTCGCCATCGCTGCGCTCCCTGCCGTTCAGATGGACGACCTCCCCGCCACCGCCCGCAACGGCGGCGTGCTCGTGGAGCTCACCCGCCGCTCCCTCCCCAATATCCGCTCCCTCGTCCGCTCCATCAGCAAGTCCAGTACAGCCCCGCTCGCCGCGTTGGTGCCGGACTTCTTCTGCTCCAGTGCGCTGCGCATCGCCGTCGAGCTCGGCGTCCCGGGATACCTCTTCGTCCCTAGCAACCTGACCCATGTCGCCCTCACGCGCCACATCGTTGAGCTCAACGAAGGCGCCGCTCCCGGCGAATACCGCGACCTTGTGGTGCCTCTCGAGCTTCCCGGCGGCGTCTCGCTACGCGACGCGGACCTCCCGGAGCACCAGATTTACGTGCCAATTGTCGAGTGGGGCCGGAGCTACTGCCTCGCCGATGGCGTGCTGGTGAACACGTTCTACGAGATGGAACCTGCTACCTTTGAAGCGTTCAAGCAGCTGGCGGTACCGGAACAGGGTTCAGGCGCGTTCTTCTTCCCGCCGGTGTTCCCCGTGGGGCCATCCGTCAGGCGGCCAGACCGCCACGAACCCACCACCGGCGCATTGTCGCCGTGCTTGGAGTGGCTTGATCGTCAGCCAGCCGGTTCTGTGGTGTACGTCGCCTTCGGGAGCGGCGGAGCACTTTCTGTGGAGCAAACGGCCGAGCTCGCGGCCGGGCTGGAGGCGAGCGGCCAAAGGTTTCTTTGGGTCGCGCGGATGCCTAGCACCGACGGCGGCTTGGACGAGGACGATCCATTGGCGTGGCTCCCCGAGGGCTTCTTGGAGAGGACGAGAGGCTGGGGCCTGACCGTCGCGGCGTGGGCGCCTCAGGCGCGCGTGCTGTCCCACCCCGCGACCGCCGTCTTCGTATCGCACTGCGGGTGGAACTCAATACTGGAGAGCGTGGGGTGCGGCGTGCCCATGCTCGCGTGGCCGCTGTATGCAAAGCAGAGCATGAACGCCGTCATTCTGGAAGAGAGGCTTGGAGTGGCATTGCGAGTGGCGCCGGACGTCGGATGCTTGGTGACCCGCCATGAGATCGCCACCGTCGTGAAGGAGCTCGTGGAGGGGGATCAGAAGCTGCGGCGCTGGGCCGAGGACCTGCAGAAAGCGGCAGCACGTGCGTGGTCGCCGGAGGGGCCGTCGCGCCGTGCGCTCGAGGAGGTCGCCATCAAGTGGAAGGCGGCGCTTGGCAAAAAAAAGCAACCCATGTAGTGCATGATCCTCCAAAAGTGCTCTCATCGTACTTCATTTTGCTGTTACTTTGTGACTTTGTATAATGGTCATTTGGTGTGAAGTGATCCAACGGCTCCTTAGGCCCGCCTTATATGCCTGGTAATTGTCGGTCTAAAAAAAGCAATGCAGAGTCACCGAGTGACTCCTCATGCTGGCCTCGCACCGACCGGCACCTCTCATATTCAGTTCAAATCTTGAACGGATGTGAGAAGGCCCTCTTCGCCATGTCGAACAAGACAGGCAGACTGTATCCCAAATTGCACGAACCCTCCTACCCCCATCTAGCCAATTCCAATTATTTCTCCTCTCTCTTCTTCCTCCTTGCAGGCCACCCCTAGCTCTGCCACCATTCTCCGTCGCTGTACTGAGCCCTCAGCACCGCAGTGCCGCCCCAATAGTCCGCCCATCCGTTCTTGCCGCCACGGACTTCATCGTCGGCCCGGATGCAATCAGGGTACATCCAGCAACTCTCGGACTGCACCTTGCCCTCTATTGTGTTCGACACATCGTCTGACCAGTGTTTTTAATCGTTTCTTAGGCAAAATGATGAATTCAGATGGTTCATCGGACGAGGAGTATGGGTCGATAGAGCTTGATGAAATGATTCAAAATGAGTTATTCAATTCATCGAATTCAGACGAAGAAGCCGAGATGATCATGATCATGAGCATCCAACAGGAAATGGATCAGGAGGTGAAGCACATTCTCAACTTCAAAGGCCCGATCAAAGGGAGAAGAGGTTTGAACCAGGATCGGGTCTTTGGAGCTCGGCTACTGTACAATGACTACTTTGCTCCCAACCCAATATTCACTCATGATCCATGGTTTCCTCCACGGTTCCTTATGCGTAAACTATTGGTCTTGCGCATGGTGGAGGGAGTGGAGGCACACTTGATGGGGAACGTTGCAGAAAACAAAAAAAAATTCTACGTTTTCACCAAGATCCATCTATGAGTTCATCTAGCAACGAGTGATCGGATGCATCTACATACCTTTGTAGATCGCGAGCGGAAGCGTTCAAGAGAACGGGGATGAGGCAATCGTACTCGATGTGATCCAAATCACCGGAGATCCTAGCGCCGAACGAACGGCACCTCCGCGTTCAACACACGTACGGTCAGCGTGACGTCTCCTCCTTCTTGATCTAGCAAGGGGGAAGGAGAGGTTGATGAAGATCCAGCAGCATGACGGCGTGGTGATGGATGCAGGAGTCACCGCAGCAGGGCTTCGCCGTTCT